AAGGCCAGACATGTCTCGTTCCGCAGTTTTATTCCTGGAATTTGGTTCGTGGATGAGGGACCAGAAGGAATCAATGACGAAGTCCAAAATTTAGCCGCAGATTCAGCAGCAGCTAGCACCAAGCTCTCTGTTAGTCAGAGGGAGCCGACAAGAACCACGACTCACCCTGGAACATTCACAGGGATCACAAACATCCAGCCGAAAATGAAACCGACAAAATAAACTCCTACCTGGCAACAACCAACGACAGAGTCAGGGCGCAAGATTCCTGTCGGCGAAAATGTCCAATTTGTCGACAGCCTGACCGCCAACGCCTTCCCCGACATGAAAGGGCAGCACCCAGACCAAACCTGGCTCAGCGAGCAGGTCATCCTGACTCCCAAAAACCTTGATGTTCGTCATATTGAATTCAACCTTCTGGGGGAGCAACATGGAAAAGCAACTGCGCGTGGGCGAGCACTACACCATGCACAGCGAAGGAGGATATGAACTGAGGACGGAAGGAGGTGCGATCGTAGACCTGACGCTCTCGTGGGAGAAGCATGCCACCAAAGTCGTACACAAATGTAACGGAAATCTTATCTCGATGTACCATCCCAGACACCACTTAACGCCTGATGTTCTCAAAATTATTCGTGACGCCCACATTCTTCCACATACAACCTACTGTTTAAGCGTATGGGGTGGCGCGGTCAAGTGCCAGGTGCAAACGATTAAAAAATTGAATTTTGCCGCCAGGATTGTCTCTGGCATAAAATGCAGCCAGCATATAATACACACTCTGGGATGTCTATGCTGTCTCCGGATTGATGACTTCACGAAAGAGGGACGTGCTGAACGTATTCAAAGCTCTAAAATGCAAAGAATCCCACCAGGCTCTTCAATCTTTGTCTAAGCCACGCTGCTCTTTCACAGAGGGAGACGGCTCCTGCACGTCAATGTCTCTCCACCTGCCCAGGCACCGATTGGAAGCCACAAGCGAGCCTTTCCTTATCGTGCCGCAGCAACTTGGAAACGCATGCCCCAATCTTGATCACTATACCTTCATTTCTGACTTTTGAGGGATTAAAAACTCTTGTTTTACATTAAAGTCTGGTTCACAGCATCACATCTTATAGCACATTTCGTAGCATCGCCTGTTAAAATGTGTTGTGAACGAGTGATGTAATGACCCAAAGCTAGCGAACATTGTGACTGAAAAGCCACCTGGTGGATGGCTGTCAAACAAACAAAACACAAATACAACTGAACTAACCCATGAAGCTTCTCAACAGCCTGTAGCCATCGGGGCTGCCATCATGACTTGGTGTTCAAACAATGTGCACCCATTCCACTCCCACAAAGCCTGCATTATTTAACACTGCAATGGCATAAAGCTGATCGAGCAGATGATGCCATCATGACAGACAAGGCCAAGCAAGCAATCGTCCTCATCCAAAATACCCTGCTCACCTCATACGACAGGTCTTTCTAACCCACGCAGATGCAGCTTCATGTCAAGCCGGGCTCTGCCATGCCTCTTAACAAGAGCCAAGGTCACCCTTAAAGCAGTGGGCCTAGACTTGTGCAGGCGTCTCCCACGGTCAACTTCACGTTGGCGGCCTCACAGCCAGCAGAAGACCTACTCATCCTGACCCAGGAGAGTACCATCAATAATGTCATGTAGGAGGAAGCACAGCGCCCACAAAATTCTTTGGTGCAGGAATGCAGCCGCAGAGCATTGCAACCTACTCTGGTGCCCGTTTGCTCAAGTCCATCTCCCTACTGCGCCTGACGTCATGTATGATGTTGCATAACACCCGACTCGCCCCCTGCCGGAAGTACCCAAGCCCGGTGGCGTGCCACAATAACGGACCTTAGAGGAGCCGAAGACCCTTCTGACTGGTCAGTTAGCCAGGCAACCATTCAGTATGACAGGGAAACTTGTTAACTGTCATGCAGGGACCATCATTAACCAATCTCAGGCTGGCATGCAATATCTGAAGATGACATGTCACTATATATATACATACATATATATGTGTGTGTGTGTGTATGTTTTACATGCAGAACCTCATGTTATTTTGTTTAATTTACACCTACAACAGGTAAATGCAGCTGCTCTATGAAACTGCTGATAAAAATGGACAGAACTCACAAATTTTTCCATAATGGTAGCTGAGCTTTCTAAAATGACAGAGGTTCACTGTGATGGTTGTCCATTGCATAGCTAGCTTCAGATGTCATCTGAAGAGACATGGAGATTTGTATCATAATGGCTCAAGCTGGATAACTACAGGCAGGTTTATTAACATTTACTTAATTAAGACAAGATGCATATGCACAGAATGTAAAATATGATCAAAATCATAACATTTGGAAGCAATATCGAGTTTGAAAGTCTGCCATCTTCAAGCCAAGCACTCATGAACTCAGTCAAATACCCACTGGGGAATCCAACTGCAGCAATTGTGCTAAAGATAACAGTGTTATCCCTGCTGCCCCCCCACCCCCGCCCCCCCCCCCCAAATAGAAGATGTCAGTTGCCAACTGGTGACAGCACCAGATGACAACTATTGGCGCACAGGGCAGTGAATTTACATGCATTACTCCCAAAATATGTAGCTGCTCAGAAACCAGGAATACAACATAAATGTTTATGGTGTCAAACACAAGAAACAAATACCAAAAACTGGCTTCTAGAAACTGGGATCTAATGGCACAACATGCAAAAGATTTAAAAGTCTTAGAACTGGGGGCTCATCAAACACTACCTCTGACAGGGCAGTGTTTAAGGCAATGCACACAAGTAAGGCAGCCTGACAAATACCATAATAGTTTCAACTGTTGCCTTAATTGCTGCCATCTTTTGCAGACTGTGTGTGTGTGTGTCATTGGGGCTTTATGGTACACTCAACTGCTAAGGCTATATGGCGTCGCCTGCCTCTCACCCTGGCAGGAAGGGCAAGCACCGCGGGGAATCAAACCCCGTACCTCTGGTTTCCCAGACGTGCAGTGGTTAACACAGATGCGTTAACCACTACACTACTGGCACCCCTTTTGCAGACTGGCTGTGAGCTGTTTTCACACCTTAAAAAAATTTTTAAATGCAAATGTTTTTACACCACCCCATTTTTTCTTTATACATATAACAGCGCAACTTGCAATAATATAATACCTAATTGTATTACAGTAGCCAAGGCTGGCTTATTAATTAGCCTGCAGTGCCTAAGTCGATGGTACACAAATATCATAGATGCATGAATTTTCCTTGAGGAAGATATAGACAGAATATTCAATTTGAATAGCCAGACAACATTATATTCCTCTATGAAACAAATCATTTGATCCAAACCTTTTGAATGGATGGATTTCTGAAATCAGAGCTCCTGCTAAGTAGTGCTTATTGAGCAAGCCCTGACCCCTGTTATCAAATTGTTCAACTGTAGTTAATCAACAGAATTTCATGGCCAATATTTAATATGCTGTGACTCTGTCCTGCCCTCTGGCATCACCTGACATAAAGCTCAACTGAGATGGAAAGGTCAGCTGGCAACTAGCCAATGAAGGTCAGCCCAGGCCAGGGACAACCATCCCACAGCACATGAAGCCTTCCACAGTCCTATCTAGCCACAGGAAAACTGCTTACCAAACTGAATGGAACAAGTTGGCTGGCAGGTTCTGGGTGCACGCAAATCAAGCCTGGTAGGTATCCTGAGCAAAAAAAAACTCTTTAAAAAATATACTAACCCCACCTGCCAAAGACAAAAAGCAATAACAAAAAGCAGCTCTGTTGCACCCTAATATACATGCATCAGCTGGAACTCAGGAGGCAAGTGCCCAAACCAAGCTATGATGACAGATATACCAAATTACTCATACAATAAACTTCAGACAATGCTCCTTCAGACAATCAACTTGCCACCATCCAGGACTAAGTGCACATAAGCACCTTGTACACCACCAGCTCCAACACTTTTATGGGTGTGTAAAGGCCTGGTGCAAAGCCAACCTACAATTTGGAGTGCATAACCCAGATCCCCCACCGTGTTTTGGACGGTGCATACCTACATTCACAACTATCTGTGCAAGTTAAAATCAAGAATGAATGAGCTCCCAAGTGAACTGATTCATGCAAGGTCGAATTAAGCACGACTTGTGCTGCACAAGTCATAGCTCATAAGACGGCACAGGAGCAATGAACCATTTTTCGTAGCGGATGTATACCAAAATATTCATAAGCCAGTGCCTGTTGGAAGCTTGTTGTACGGGTAAAACTTCACAGAAAATCATGGACTATTTCATCACAGCAATCAATAACAGTTTTAAAGCTCGTTCATTCCACTATTCACGCACACCACTCTGCCCACCTACTTGCCCCGGCGCCTTGGGAAACCAGACCCCGACCGGCGAAAACTTCGAAGAGGTCGAATGCAGAGCGGAAGACAGATCTGAGGACAACTAAGCCCAAGGTCGCATTTGCCATAGACTCAACGCCATTGGCCGCATAGAATTGAGGAAAAAATAGGCATTTGTCATATGAGAAGTGCAACATTTTTTATCTTAGGAAATAAAATTATTTTTTCAACAGTTCATGATAAGGAAAAGAAGTAAAAATGACAAAAATTCCTAGCACTTCCCTAATTAATTAAATACCAGTTTTTGCCGCTAGGTATGCCATAAGTTATATGGAAGCATATATCTAGCACGCGGACCATAGATGAAGAACTAGTTTCAGCTACTAGTCCGAATTCTGCATGATGGTTGCAGACCTTATCAACATAGTGCAATGAAAGGAATGTCATTTTTGAAATATGGAGATGGAATTATCGACTTCAGCTGCATTACATGATTTGAAAGGATCTAGAACAAGAGATGAAGCTGTGCATTCCTGATTCCAATTTCGTAGGCTTCATGCCATAGTATATATGGAAGTCAATAGCTCATTCATTTGTGGCGCAAATGTGTCAAACGTGCGAAATGGTGAAATGTGTACCGGTCGTGACGTTGCGTGCGTGGTATTGTGACATTTTCAGGGGGTGCGTAATTTCCATATTACAAAACTTTGATGGTACATTGCAGCGTAATCACGGACTTTTAGAGGACACTGCGGTATCAGTTTTTATCAGTTTTTGCTACTTTCTTATTAATACAGGATTTCTGCCTTGATTTAGTTGCTGTAATAAGTTAGTTGATTCATTCGGTTGCAAGACAAAATACCGCTTGTAGGTGAGTTAAGGTGCTTGTTGAAGTGATGATCAAGCGTAGTTTGGTGGGAATATTAAGGTGTAGGTATTTGTTCTATTAAGAGTAGGAACCATGGTGAGCATTTTTAAAGGTTCATTCTAGGCAGTGTTGACCACGTAAGTACTCAGAATGCAAGAAGCTGTTGCAATGTTGATAGGGCATTGCTGATCGGACCCTTCCACAGAGTGAATACTCATTTAGCAATGGCTGAATATACTGAAATACCTTGCATTCCTCTTTGTTGATATGGTGCTCCATGAACTGTAAAATCCTACTCCTTTACTGCCTGGTACTAAAGATGCTGCATGTCATGGAGTTAGCCTTCATTTCTGATACAGATCTGGCTAAGAATGCATTATTATGTTCTTTGTGCTGGATCACTGCAGGAAAATTCCTTTTCATGTGACACTAATAACATATTTGCTTTTCTTTACTACTTCTGCAGATACAGAAATTGTGGAAAGAGTTTCTGCATTTTTTTGTTCTTAAGTTGTATTTCTGCATCCATCCTTGGCATATGTCCCTGCCAGGCATGGCCTGCAGATGGTAACAGAAGCCACTCTTAAAAGTCAGGTGACAATACAGACAGCTAACTACTAACTGTTAAGAGGCCAGACTACTAGCTGTTAAGGGGCCAGAGTACTAACTGTTATGGGGCCAGAGTACTAACTGTTAAGTATTGCAGTAATTTAAACTTTCTGCAGGAAATTTGACATCAAAATGGAGTTGGACCATAACTGGTAAGAATTGGTAGTGGTCAAAACTCACACCATAAGCACTGCTTAGCATAAGGTCTGATCCAGAAAAACAACCATTCAGATGGTGAAGATCAAATATATAAAAACACTGCCAGAAATAATAAATCTTAGGAGTTCCAGAATATAGTGGGCAGTTCAAGATCTTTATTGCTTTTTCATAGGGCATGCCCAAAAAATTACATGAAATTTACATGCCTCATTTCATGGGGTATGTAAATGATGGACTTGTGGTCATGAGGCTTGTGGTTATTCAGGCATTCCATGGATTATCAAGTTGCATTGCATAGCATGAGAGATGCAAAAAGAAATGGCAGCTGCCATTTGACTTACTATCATCTTAAACTCTGAAAATGAATGAAATTTTCTGGCCTAATGTGTGCTAATTATCCTCCTATATCACGGAGACTGTTACTGGCTAATTGAGGTTATGACATGTCAGTTCTAGTTGCCTTGGTTGTATCAACAATATATTGTGGCATTATAAACACAAGTTATGTAGTGTGTCTTCTTATTGACTCATGTGAATATTATGTGCTACATAGCAATACTGATCCAGGCATGGCAGATAACACCAAGCAGCTATGCATTAAGCACAGTCACTACTTCAACTGTCACCTACAAAACCTCATCCAAAACTTTTGTTTCCAATGAACCTGATACTTTATCCCACATATTGGCACACTTCACATCTTTCAGCTTTTCATACTGCATGATAAATGTCATAAAATCTCTGATAATGCCTTCAGTTGTGGACAATGAAACATGATGTTGATTGCAGGATAGGATAGAAGCTGAGTGGGATAGGAGATTGTACAAGATTTATGGTGCTTTGGAGTTTTTCTAGCAGAGTTTTGGCATCTAGCAGATTGAGCCCTCAATGGGGAAAGGGAGGGAGTACACAACTGGTCACAATATATTGTGACAGGAAAGCTTCTTGTTCTTTTGTTGTTGAATGTTGACTTTTTTGAATGTTGAAAATGAATGTCTTCTGTTTGTTTATGTATGTGTGCATATCTTCTGTTCAATTATATTATCTAGCAGCAGTACAGACATGCCTTTGTGGCTGAAGGGGTATTGTGCCTACTTTTACCAGTAAGATGGCTTATTAAGCTCAGAACCTACCACATCATGTGGTCTGGGCTCACATGACAGTATTGGTTGCATTTCATGGAGCTGCTGGTTAACAATTTTATTGTTCTTGAACCCACATGGGATACTGTGTTGTCAACAAAACATCTCTTTAAGATTAAAATTTGGTATTACCAAGCTCTGGCCTTTTGGATTGAGTGGCCTTATTTTGCTAGCAGCATACCAACGCAGGTGTTTCTTGTTGCTAGTAGGTATTATGCACATGAACAGGAAGGCCTCATGATTTTATGGGATCCAAACAACATCCAGATGTAAGACTGGGAGCTGCACCCAAAAGGTGCATGTCCCCAAGCTGCAACCACAAGATGTCTCCCCAAAACTTGGACTTTTGAGTTTTGGCTGCAACACTGGTGGTGGCTGATTTCCATTACTGTTACTTTAGTCATGGATATTTCATATATTTTGTTTTAATTTGCATCAGACCATCTGAAGTGGGGTGTTTTGGCAGTATGAGTTGTTATGTCTTTGTGGTGTTCTTTTTTGTAGTTGAGCATTCTTTTAATTGAGTTCTAAAGATAATCAGTCTGGAGTATTTCAAAACAATTTTGAAGCAGTATCTGGCTCATGTAAAATGTGCCAAATGTGGCTGGAAGTTTGTTGGATTCTGTCACCATACATGCATATGGAATGGCATTACTGGGTCCTGTAAAATGGTATGAGACAGATGTTCAAATACTTATTTTTGTAGGTGAGACCAACCCTGCAACCAGTGAGCATAATTAGGAATTATGATTTGGGGCTTAGATTGCATGGTTCTTTCCCTATTGTTCTTGTCAATGCTGCAGTGGGAAATCGGGTCTTGGCCAGTCAGGTCAGATGAGGCCAATTACCACTCATATTCAACACACTGGGACTTAGGTGTCAGTGAATCCTTGTGGTGTCAGTGGCATACAAATGCCATGATTTGGTTGAGTGTGCTAAGGTTTGCAGCCAGTTGTGATGTTCAACATCATGTTTGAATGGGCATGGTCACTGAAAAATGGCAGCATGTAACTGAGATGAAATATGCTGATGAAAGAGTTGCAAACAGTGGGTGAGCCCAGTACCTTGCCTTCAAACTGTTCATCTCAGCTCACCAGTGTCACAGTTCATTAACACACCATATAAAACAATATATGTGCACATACAATTGTTATCAGGAAATATTCAGGACAATATCATCAGTGCCAAGGACATGACCTGGAGCTCTACTGTGCTCACTCCTTTTGCCAGGTTAGCACCGCAAAACTGGGTAGTTTGTCCGGTGTTTTTTAGGCCATGTTCGCACCTGCAATGCTTCCATCGACTCCTAGGCTGATATGAATGTGGTTGCTCTAGTCTGACTACCGAGCGACTTCCATTGGTATAAAAAGTGTACATGCACAGAGTGGCCATGGTCAATAGCAACTTATTTGGACCGTGGTACATTCGCTGCACTTATTCGTGTCGAGGTCAGTGCGGATCTGGAGTCGGAGGTCCAAATTCGTCTCGCGGAGGGCGATGGAAGAAACGATTTTCGCTGCACGCGCCATCTGGGAGGACGAGAGGAACATTGCATGAAGGTTTGTGATATTGCCCGGCTTCCGATCCGCCCAAACCCCACGCTCACTTGGGGAGTTCTCCTCGACGGGATTGGAAACCTGCGTGGTTTCCTGTTTTTCATCTCAGCCATCCTTCTAGTGGAGTTGATGGAATCCGCACCAATTTTTATGTGTATTTCAATCAGATTAGATGAGTGGCTGAGCAGTGAGCTTTTGCTGCAGGAGCTTCGTGAGCGGAGTTGCGCAGGTAAACCGTTCAACTTTATCCCCAGCACCGATGGTGTTTTACCGTACCATTTGCCAGCTCGTACCTCATGCTCAGTAGTAAGAGAGTTAAAGATTGCACTGATGGACTGATGGCCAACTGACTGTGTAATTAATCCTCTTCTGTCGTCCTCTTTGTATTCACATGTTGCAAACATGCCACATGTCCAAAACAAACTTATTAACATGTCGGATGTGTGGCGATGTCGCGTTTCCACAGCCACGTTTCATGAAGCCACGGTTAGTTATTGTTTCGATTTTAAATGACGTTTGTTTCAGCGGCCTTGCCGCGCAGCATACTACAATCCTCCACCTGTGAATATAGGTCGTCCAGCGATAACCTTTACTAGGACATGGCGTGCAAAAACGGGCTGAAAACCTTCTCAACAACTTTTTTGTAAGACAGATCAAAGAAATGGACAAATAATTGAGTGAGGTCAATTGTTGTCGATGATTGACGTCATTGAGTCAGGTTAGGGCCTTGTGTCCGGTTCAGCATGAATGTGAGCAGTAACGAAAGAACCATGTCCATTGTTTTAACTGTACAATATTTCACTCACCAGACGTATTTTACGATGCATGTGCGATCTGAAATCTGTTTGGAGATAGCGACATCCGGCTGTAGTCGCATACACATTTTCTTGGGACGTTGTTCCCACTTTCCGTTTGAAAAATTGTCTGAAGATAGCTGGTGGCACCAAGGTCTTTAAATAGACAATTTTCCGTATCCAGTGTTGTTGATGATAATCTGTAATGAACATCGTGTGCTTGGTTTTTGAATCGCAATTACAAAAATATCCCTTGGTGTGAAGCTACCGCAACGTTACCAGCAGGCGCTTGCGGTAACTTGTACATGATTAAAGGTGACACTGGCTAGTGGCAGTCCCACGAAACATGCTGTTTTTAAAGTGATTTCCCCCTTACACAAACGCAACTGAGTTGTGCGAAATAGCTGAGATGATGTACCATTAATGCAGATGGAGTAGTTGTTCGAACCGCCGTCCTCGTATTGTCCGTCCTCCATTACGCACTCGTATGGTGCATTAGTGTGTACACATAGAGGCACACTAACACCAGACGAGGCCAGAGTAGCAAAAAACGTTCCAGCTGTGCGTAATTAGTGGGTCCCGGTTGTTCCAGCCCAAGATTTGTGCCTTTCGTTAACACGGTGGCGCGCCTGGTCGTCAGAGTAACAACTCCGTGTGTTGCGAGCAGGGTGTCCCGTACCTGACCGCGCCCGTCCGACAGAGCAGGGTGTCCCGTACCTGACCGCACCCGTCCGACAGAGCAGGGTGTCCCGTACCTGACCGCACCCGTCCGACAGAGCAGGGTGTCCCGTACCTGACCGCACCCGTCCGACAGAGCAGGGTGTCCCGTACCTGACCGCACCTGTCCGACAGAGCAGGGTGTCCCGTACCTGACCGCGCCCGTCCGACAGAGCAGGGTGTCCCGTACCTGACCGCACCCGTCCTACAGAGCAGGGTGTCCCGTACCTGACCGCACCCGTCCGACAGAGCAGGGTGTTCCGTACCTGACCGCACCCGTCCGACAGAGCAGGGTGTCCCGTACCTGACCGCACCCGTCCGACAGAGCAGGGTGTCCCGTACCTGACCGCACCCGTCTGACAGAGCAGGGTGTCCCGCACCTGACCGCACCCGTCCGACAGAGCAGGGTGTCCCGTACCTGACCGCACCCGTCCGACAGAGCAGGGTGTCCCGTACCTGACCGCACCCGTCCGACAGAGCAGGGTGTCCCGTACCTGACCGCACCCGTCTGACAGAGCAGGGTGTCCCGCACCTGACCGCACTCGTCCGACAGAGCAGGGTGTCCCGCACCTGACCGCACCCGTCCGACAGAGCCGCCGGCCATGGGGCGAGCCGGTCGAAAGCGCCGGCGTCTCCAGGAGGAGGTGGCCCTGGAGCCTGGGCCGTCCGTCGCGCGGCCGTCCGTGACACTGCCGAACGGGGAGAGCAGCTCTGCGCAGGCACAGCAACCGGACAGCGCGCCTGTCAGCCAGGCCGAGCCGTTCTATGAACCTCTGCACCTCCTGCCAGAGGTAGGTGCACGGCGTTAGACGGAAGCGATTAACTGTCGTAATTGGGCTGATTTGAGGTGTCGTGGATGGGACTGTCCGGATCGGGGATCATTTAAAGTTCCCTATGCAGTGAAGCCAATCATGACTGCCAAGATCGGATAACCAGGGGTTTCCTACATGCGCGAAGGCCACAACTGTATGTTTAAGCCCAGTCTCATCCCGTATGGTAAAGCTTAGGCCTATCAGTAAATAAAACAAAAGAATAGTGAGCAGTAGCACAGTTGGTCATCGTATGTCGAGATCCCAGCCGCGGCGGAACAAAACAATCACGCTTTACAAACGTTGCCCGGGGCACCGGCCGCCTGCCGCAGGACGAGGCCACGCTGGCGGCGCTGCTGCGCGAGGCGGCGGCAATCGTGGCGGCCGGGCCGGCGCGGCTGGCCGACCCGCGGCGCGCCCTGCGCCTGCTGCGCCACTGCGCGTCGCGCCTGCCGGCCGCGCAGCTGGCCGAACGCCTGACGCCCTGGTGCCAGTTTCTGGCGGGGGCGCTGCGCTCGCCGCGCCACCTGTGGTGCCGCGACGCCGCCTGCCGCGCCGCCGCGCGCCTGCTGGCCGAGGCCGCCCGGCTGGAGGAGGCGCACCGCCAGCTGGCCGGCGGGGCGCTGGCCCAGCTGGTCACGCCGCTCATCGAGAGCTCCGACAAGGTGGGTCGCCCACACGCAGGCCCGCTGCCGCTGACGGCAACCTGCGGCACTGCGTGACCGGGCAGGCGCGCAGCGGGCGCACCCAGGTGATCGGATTGGTCCCGTTGGGATCGGCTCTGTGTCGCAACTTTGGTTTTGCCCGACGCCTGGGTAGTTGCCCTTGGATTTCGCTGTCATGGTTTTTGTAAAAGGGGCCTGAGTGTTTCACTGAACACATTTGGTTTGCGTTAGCGTATGCTATATTTCGATACGTTACGTTAGTTATGCGTCCACTTGCCACTACATTTGTTGTCGCCTCTTTGCTCGTCTTCTCATCACGCATATACCTGCGCCTAATTTTAGGCCTACCACATGACAGCACTGGACCAAACGGGAAAGTTCCCATCGAGTTCACGTGGGGGACAGCTAGTGATATCTGCCATTTTGACTGTCCTTAAGTGCAATCAAGAAAAAGGAACGGGAGGAATGCAAGCAATGCAGTTGGCGATCTTACTTTTGCAAGCAACGTAAGCAATAAAAACAGGACCTTTTTGCTACCAAGTGCTGTATTTGTCATAAACCGGTAGCGTGTATGAGATGTCTGTTAGCCTCATGTTTTTCAATATCATCTCGGCTTACTCCCATAGCTTCTTTGTGTGGCGCTTCTTGGTTAACTTTTTCAAAATTTTTGTTCCCGGGCATTTCTTTGTGCTGCCTCACCAGTCTTGAGTCAGTATGCGACCATTTGGTGGCTCCTCTGTTGGCAGGCAACGCCGTCGTCGCTGAACTGCCTGCGGGTGATTCTGGTCCACTTTGGTCGTGGCTGTGGCACAGTCAAGGTACGTGGCGGCGAGCCGTGCGACCGAACCGGACACCGGTCACCGGACACCGGACACCGGTCACCGGACACCGATCACCGAATACCGGACACTGGACACTGGACACCGATCACCGAATACCGGACACCGGTCACTGGACACCGGTCACCAGACACCGGTCTCAGCCGTCAGCCGTGGGTGCTGGCAGTGCAGACCTTGACATTGTCGGTGTACAGACCCAGACATCGTTGGTTACAGACCCTTACGTCGTCGGTGCTCAGACCATGACATCGTTGGTTATCGTCGGTGTACAGACCCTGACATCAGTGTACAGGCCCTGACGTCGTCAGTGCACAAACCATGACATCATTGCTTGCAGACCCTGACACCGTCGGTGCACAGACCCTAACATCGTCAGTGTACAGACCCCCCTGACATCATCGTTGCACGGATTCTGATGGCACAGGCATTCAGGTCATTTGTGAAGAGAACGGTGCGGCTGTAGATGGCAATGCCGCAGTTGCCATTTCGTAGCAGTTCATGCACGATTCTAAAGGGAGGGGGCGGGGAAACGGGCAGCCAATCCAGTGGCATCGGTGGTTGGTTACATTTTAAAACATTTGTGTTAATGATTTGGCTTGTTTTGGGACAGTTATCATGGTTATATTAATTTTGGTTTATTTGCTGCTCTGGGTTCCAGGATAGACCTTTTTCTCACATTTCTTCGCCATGAAACTTTGTACTCAAAAATTTTTGTGGCGTATCTTCGTGTGACATTCCGCACGCGAGTCTTGTAAGTCAGCTAGGACCTCAGATAGCACGCAGATCATGCGTGATTCTCATATTTACCGATATGCATGCAGAGATGCTCGTTTAGCTCAAATGGCCTAGAGGGATCATCGTGCGACTTTTGTGCAGCATACGGGGTTATTTATTACAAACGGGCACCACGGCTCATTTAATCACGACACTTGTAGGGTGACCTGGCACGACCCGGGGACCATGTGGAGCCCCCAGTGACCTGGAGTGACGTGTAGTCTGAATGACCCTCATGGCCAGTCAGGATAGGCGATTAGTCACGCCAACACAGGCCAAGACATGAAAGAAAACAGTTAATTGCTACTGAGAGAGGAGGCAGTCATGCAAACTTCTAGGTCATAAATAGTCACGTCACAGCGTCACGTCATTCTTCTACGTCATAAATTCGTGGTCTGAACTTGCATCGATTTTTCATCGGGAGAATGTGGTGATCACCTGAATTATCCCAAATGTTTGTTGGGCTTGCCCAAAGTGGTCTGAAAGTTACTCTGAAAAAATCAACGACTGTGGGGGTACCGCTACACCCCACTCAGACACTCGGCAGTGAAACACGATATGTGATATTTCGTGTATCGCAGCTACACAACTCCATTGACTTCGTCAATTGACTCGGACAACTCGTCTTGTCTCTGCTTGCGACAAGCGCTTGTCTCTGGCAAAAATGGCGGTGAGGGAATTAACGGCGGAACAGCACTGAGAGCTATCTTGCAGAGTGGGGAAGTCTTTCCTGTAATACAATTTGTGATACCAGTGCTTGCTTACGAAGCTTTGCGCACGCTGAACTCCGATATGGGAATGTGGGGACACCGTTTTACATAGGAGGGATGCTCTGCATTAAATGTGACGAGATGTTTTTCCCTGCCGTTTTCATGTGACGTAACACTAAGTGATCTTATGATATCATTATTATAGAGTTGAATGGTTACACAATACAAGAGGTCGGAGGGTCATGTCGTGCCGACGTAAAGCATTGCTTGGGTTTAGAAATAGCGTGTCTCTATGGTTAGTGTCAATGGGGTGCCCCTTCTCATGACTTATTGCATCGTCTGTGCGTGCGCGCGCGCGCGTGCGTGCGTGCGTGCGTGCGTGCGTGCGTGCGTGCGTGCGTGCGTGCGCGTATGCGTGTGCGTGTGCGTGCGTGTGTGATGTTTCACGAGCTCAAGCGTTTGAGCACACAAATATAAGTGGAACATCACTAACGCGTCGGTCAAAGTTGACGACATCAGTTTGTCGTCTTGCTGAGCGGCGTCGCCGCGTGCTTCGCGTGAGCTCGTCATTACGGGTCGCGTGTCGGCGCCGTTACAGGGTCAGCTGTCTCAGCACCTGCTGCAGCTGTTGGACGGCGCCCGACCCGGCGTCAGTTGGGCCGCCTGCCGCTGCGTGGCGCTGCTACCTCACACAGGACCCTCCGGTGAGTGGCTGGTGACTGGAGGCTCGTCTCTGGGCTTCCTCCCCCCCCCCCCCGCCCCGCGCGCGCGCTGTGACGGCTGTGTCTGCCGCTGTCTCCTCCCGACACACTGCGGGCGGCGTCAGCTGGTATTCCGGCGGGATCCCTGGAGCTGAAACCACCCGGCAGCGGGCGGGCTGGACTGGCCCGGGTGGCTTTTCAGTGGTGGTGAAATTAAAGGCCCGCAACCAGCCCCATCCCAGTATTGGAATGGTACAAATATCTCACCAATGCTGCACAGTCCAAGGATTGATGTCATGGCTGCACAGTCCAAGGATTGATGTCATGGCTGAGAACAATGTCCTGCATTTTAAAGGAGTATTCGTGTCGTAGTTATGCAAACATCTCGTGAGTGTTAATGATGCCGTTTCTACCAAGTTTTTGTGTCAGGGACAACGGAAACTGATTAAGAATTGGCATTGAGCAAATGCCAAAGCCACGTTGGCATTCTGTCAGTGATTAATTGCCGTCATTTATATCAGCTTTGGCTTGAGTGAAGGCGGAAGCCCTTGAGGTGGGGCGGCGAGGAGCTGATGTGGTTTGTTCTTTTTTGGGGTTATGCCCGTTTGCAAGCTTTCGCTTTTTATGCAAGACCTTACAGTTGATCTTTCGACAGATTGCTGTGTAAAAAAACGCCTGAGGTAGTACTGGAGGGGGAGGGGGAGTCGCCAAAATGTGCATTCCTCACGTAATCCACCATCCCAGTTGTTCATGGTTCAGGATATTGATGTCAGCCGAGGACAAGCTACGTTAGGTTGTAATACTCAATTTAATTTTACAATGCATTATTCGCGGCGAGTTTGTCGCCCTATGGCAGCTGTGATCACGGCAGCCGTGTTGCGTGTCATCTGACGCGTTGACTGGCGCGTGTGGCCAGGCTCGGCCGGTGCGGCGTACGTGACGGCTTGGGGCTGCCAGATCCGCGGCCTGGTGCGCTGCTTCCACCAGCATCTCGACAGACTGCTGGACGGAATAGTTGAAATTCAGGTGAGATGCTCGCGCTTGCCTCCGCGTTGACGCTTTCCCTCGTCTCGGTAGGTCATAATTTTGCGGAGAACTTCATGTCTTGTCGAGAGTTGGACTCGGGAACAGTACGTCCGTCAGCTGCGTGTTCCTATGTGTGTCATTGGGGCTTTACGACGCACTCAGCTGCTGAGGCTATATGACGTCGCCTGCCTCTCACCCTGGCAGGAAGGGCGGGCACCGCGGGGAATCAAACCCCGTATCTCTGGTTTCCCAGACGCGTAGTGGTTAACGCAGACGCGTTAACCACTACACTACCGGCACCCCTCCGCCAGCTGCAAACGGTGTGACTGCCGGAGTTTTACTACGCGCCCAATCCCGCACTTCAGATGTCGCCATCACCGCATGGCTGGCTCAGTGACACCCTGACAGCAGTCCCGCAATGCGTGTGAGCCAGGCGCTGCTGAAAGGGCGGCGCCGGCTGGCCGCGGTAGCCGTCCGGCCGGCCGGACGCAGAGAGCCGGCGCCTGTCTGCGTGTGATGTCCCGCGCCTTTCTGTGTGTGACCTGCCGCGCCTGCCTGTGTGACGTCCCGCGCGTGTCTGTGTGTGACGTCCCGCGTCTGCCTGTGTGACGTCCCTCGCGTGTCTGTGTGTGACATCCCGCGCCTGCCTGTGTGACGTCCCGCGCGTGTCTGTGACATCCCGCGTCTGCCTGTGTGACGTCCCGCGCCCGCCTGTGTGACGTCCCTCGCGTGTCTGTATGTGACATCCCGCGCCTGCCTGTGTGACGTCCCGCGCGTGTCTATATGACCTGTCGCGCCTACCTGTGTAACGTCCCGTGCCCGCGTGGGCAGACGTTCGAAGTGCCGGAGGAGACGCTGGAGGCTGAGCCGCCGCCGCTGCCAGAGACCGAGCCCATCCAGCTGCGTCACCGGCTGGCGCGCCGGCTTGTCGCCCTCGCGCAGGTCATCGGCCTCATGCTCAGGTGGGCGCCGGCGCCGCCGCAGGGGTACGGGCTCCTGGGGACGGCGCCGCCACAAGGGTGCGAGGGACAGAAGAACGCGGCCGTGCATGGGGCATGCTCGGGGTACAGGGAACAGCGCAGGGGTGCAGATTCTGGGGGAGAGGAGAGGGAACGTCCGGGGCGTTGTGCTTAAGGGCTATGCTCAAAAAGTGTTCCAGATGTTTTCAGATGTTTGAATGTGTTAGCCCTAGCCGGAATGAAAGCTCTGGTGCTGTTGTCTGATCAATATTATTATGTGTATTACGGCCTTCCTCAGCTATGTTTTCGGTATACACCAACGTTTGTTCTGGGCGGACTCGGATAAATAAGTGTGCGTGCTCTGTAAGCGGCCCATGACGTGCTGCAGTGTAGACGCTCGAACAGAACTGGTTCATACACGTCGGGCGGTCACCACTACACCGGGACTGCCGGCGGTCGGCCTCACCCGACGCAAACCTCGCCCCGACAGCTCTGCCACGCAGCAGCCGGTGTCGGTGCCGGTGGCGGCGCTGCTGGACCTGGTGTGCCGGTGTCTGGCGGCCGGCGCCGACGCCGCGCCGGCCGCGCTCGAGCTGTGCGCCGCCCTCCGCTGTCTGCAGGAGGTGCGCGCCGCTGCGCTCCGCCTCCTCGAGGCGCTCGTCGCCTGGTGAGTCGGTGCTGGGCGGCCCATCGCCACCGCCTTGCTCAGGACACGGAGGGAGGGGTCTCGAGCTGGATCAGTCATCGGTACTCGACGTGATGTCACGGCAGGCTTCACTAGATGACCAAAGTGCAATTTTCTCACAGCTAACCATGGCTTCACCGATTGTACGCAATGTAGCGCGCTCATAGTGGCGCGCGCACGTCACACGTGCTCAAGAACACGCCATGTTTTTTGTGCCATGCAATAAGTTTGTCGCGTCCGCTGCGTCCGCTGCGGGCACCCTGCTCTGCGTCCGCTGCTTAACTTAGTTTTCAGTGAAAATTTTAGGTTGCAGGCCTGACATCGCGGCAGCCCGCGTACGCCCCTGCTTGTGCGATTCCACATTGCCCTTCTTTGTCGCTCGCTCCTTCACAGAGGCATAGATCCTAACAAGATGTATCACCAGATCATTTAAGGTATATCTGAAACGCACCTCTCACTGGTCTGTTCGCACGCTACGTTCTTTGAAAAGGGCCTCAGCATCTGAAGTGCCCCGAGACAAGTGATCACCCTGACCCTGCCGCATTGTGTGCTGTATCCTGTCGCCTTTGGTGTTCGCGCGCGCGCTCGTGTGCGCGTGTTTCTGACCGCGCGCCGTCCGGCAGCTGCGGCACCAGCCTGCTGCTGCGCGCCTCACTGCTGAACCGGCTGCTGCTGAGCGCGCTGCAGCCAGCGACCGGCGCCGCGCCGCCCCTGTCGCCGGCGGCGGACGCGGCGCACTGTCAGGCCCTGCGCACACTGCGCGCTTGGATGCTGGCCGTGGGCGCCGGCAGCAACCTGCAGGCGGATGGGGAGCGGCTGGTGACTGCGCTCGCCGCCGACGTCCGGCCGCCGCCGCCGGCCACACTGACGCTCCAGGTCAGTCAGGCGGTCACACTGACGCATCAGGTCAGTCAGACGGTCACACTGACGCTCCAGGTCAGTCAGACGGCCACACTGACGCTCCAGGTCAGTCAGACGGTCACATTGACGCTCCAGGTCAGTCAGACGGTCACACTGACGCTCCAGGTCAGTCCGACGGCCACACTGACGCTCCAGGTCAGTCAGGCGGTCACATTGACGCTCCAGGTCAGTCAGAAGGTCACACTGACGTCAAGGTCAGTCAGACGGCCACAACGACTCTCCAGGTCAGTGAGGCGGTCACACTGACACTGAGGTCGGCCAGACAGTCACACTGGCACTCCAGGTCAGTCAGGCGGTCACACTGACGTTCCAGGTCAGTCTGATGGCCACACTGACGCTCCAGGTCAGTCAGACGGTCTGACCACACTGTGAGACGGTCACAGACAGTCAGACGGTCTGACCACACTGTCAGACGGTCACATTGACACTCCAGGTCAGTCAGACGGTCACACCGACGTTCCAGGTCAGTCAGACGGTCGCATTGACACTCCAGGTCAGTCAGACGGTCACATTGACGCTCCAGATCAGTCAGAAGGTCACACTGACGTTCCAGGTCAGTCAGAAGGTCACACTGACGCTCCAGGTCAGTCAGACGGTCACACTGGCGTTCCAGGTCAGTCAGACGGTCACACTGACGTTCCAGGTCAGTCAGACGGTCACACTGACGTTCCAGGTCAGTCAGACCGGTTGCCTGACCAAACGCGGCAGAGGCCAGCTCCTCAATGGCCAACGGCCATCAGTATCAGGAGTGACTAGAGTTTCTGCATCGTATGTCAGTGAAGGATATGTTGAGCTAGTCCAACTTTTGCAAAGGCATTGTAGACAACGGAGAGTCCCCGAGTACCGTTCTCACCACTATCTTAACCAGGGTACTTTTCTTCATTAACACGGTGAAAGGTCGGTCACGTTGGCTGAAGGATAACAGCAATACTCGAGTCGCTCCGTGAAACAAGGCAATCCTCTTTGGAAATGGAAAATAGGCGAATGCTTCAGCCTGAAGATAAGAACATGCTAACCTGTGTTTGTGAAGTACGGGTTCCTGAGCAGCGCCCTGTGAGTGGCTCATCGGATAGCAGGACATCTAGCCTCCATCACGTTTTAAATGGTCCTTGAAGGACAACCAGTGGTAGTTGAAATTTGCGTTTTTCAAGAAACTTGTGTCGAAGTAGGACCTCCCTTTCACGTGTTATTTAGAGATCATACGATCGCTCATCCCCCCCACCGCCCACCCACAGACCGCAGTCCTGACGATGACCGGGAGGACTGAGTACCGCCCTGACGATGACCGGGAGGACCGAGCACTACCCTGACGATGACCGGGAGGACCGAATACCGCCCTGACGATGACGAGTACCGCCCGGTGGGACCGAGCGCCGCCCTGACCACGTTCCTGTCCGTGCCAGGCTGCGGGATCCACCAACGGCGTGGCGCCGTCGGCTGCCAAGAAGAAGCGGCGGTCGGCTGCCGGGTGGCTGGAGCCGGCGCCGGGCGAGCGGGCGCGCCCGCCCGCCGCCGCCGCCGGCCGCTGCCAAGCGGCGCTGCAGACGTTGGCCCAGCTGGTCAGCGCGCTCGGTCCGCTGCTCAAGCCGCCCGTGCACAAGGTACGCCCGGCTCGGAGCCGCCGCGCCCGGCAGGGGCAGTGCTGGGGTGCACGGCCGGCCGGCCTGTGGCCCCCACTGCCGGCACCGGCTGGCGTCCGCGTGGGTCAAAACTAGGACAAAACGAGAAGTGTAATGTACCAGACTGGCAGCAATCTCGTTTGTTTGGATTCGTCTCTGATACTGCTTGCAGCAGTTGGACCGTCGGTTGCGGCGCGCTCGGTAGCCGATCTCAGTGACCGTGTCCGTACCCATACCATTACTGATTGTTTTGTGATGGCATGCTGTGGTACACAAGCTTTCAGTCGTTGGCAGCGGTGCTCCAGGGTGCCGTCTCTGACCCGTGCCCTGCCCGGTCCCCAGTCTCTACAGTCGCTGGCAGCGGTGTTCCTGGGTGCCGTCTCTGACCTGTGCCGACCCCCAGTCTCTGCAGTCGCTGGCAGCGGTGCTCCAGGGTGCCGTCTCTGACCCGTGCCCTGCCCGGTCCCCAGTACCTACAGTCGCTGGCAGTGCTCCTGGGTGCCGTCTCTGACCCGTGCCCTGCCCGGTCCCCAGTCTCTCCAGTCGCTGGCCGTGACCCAGCTGCTGGAGGTGCAGCGCTCGTCGCCGCCGCCGCCGCCGTACGGCCAGCCTCAGTGCCGGGCGGCGCTGTACCGGCTGCTGCGCGCGCTCGTGGCTGATCCACACTCGCAGTGGCCGGCGCCGCTGCAGTTCGCCGTGCCGATGTTCGCGCACGGCACGCGCGACTCCGACCCGACGGTGAGCCGGCGGCCTCCCGGACTGAGCCGACTGTGCGTGCGTGCGTGTGCCGGGAATCGATAAGACACGTGGAACAGGCATCGATGCGCATCGCATCGGCAGAACAAAAAGCGATGGTCAAAACAGTGGTTTGTTCGAGGCTCTGATACAGCGCATCATCGCCGGCTGCTTAATAAGTAGCGAGGCAACTCAACTGCGCTGAGGGCGGGATTGCTGTAGTAAGCCGGGTGTGGTGTTTGCATAGTTGCGCTCCGGGCTGTCTAATGCAGGTTGTCTGATCAGACGTCATCCTGCCGATAGGTGTCATCAGTCTGCCAGGACGGTCAGGCACTGTGCATGCGTGCCGTGCACCCCAGCTACCCGGCGCTCTTCTTTCCCGTCGACCTGAGCGCCTACAGCAAGCTGGCCCCAGCCGCCGAGCAGCAATCGGTGGATGCAGAGGACCGGCTGTCGTCGGTCGGCCATGGGCACCCGCCGACCGACGGAGAGCCGTCTCCGGCGGGTAAGGCACACTCTCCGGCAGATGGACGACCCTGCCCGTGGGGAGGGGGACCCTCTCCAGCCGGTGGAGGGCCCTGGTCGGCCGGCGCCGGCGGGCTTCCGGCCGACAGAGACGGCGCCACGCCGGCCGCTGACGGAAGCCCGGCCGTGGCGGCCGCCGCCGGCCCGAGCCGCGACGCTGAGGGTGGCAGCGATGCGACGAGTCCGGCGCCGCCGGGCCCGCCGCCCGACAGCAAGCCGCCGGCAGCCATGTCTCGCGCCGTCACCGTTGTCACTACCGTTACCATCGCCTCCTCGAGCGGCGAGAGCTCGGGCTCAGAGAGCGGGGGCCGCCGCTCGGTCGAGCTGGCCGACGACCAGCGCTCGATCGTGCTCGAGGCCAGCGACGACGAGCGCTCGTCGGGCGGCCGCCGCTCGCCGGACAAGGACGAGGACGAGGACGAGGTGGAGATCCTGGAGACGAAGCGGCCCCGCCGCGGCGCCTCGCCGGCTGCCGGCGACGCCGAGCTGGCGCCCGACGTGGCTGACATGCTGAAGGACTTTGTCAATGAGGACCCGGAGGTGGAGTGAGCCGGGTGGCGGTCTCTGGCGTCGTGGCGCGCGGCGCGCTCGCTTCAGGCGCGACGGGTGTCGAGGCGCGGCGTGTCTGTGTGTGTCTAGACCTGGCTCTGCTGGCTGCGGGGCCGCAGCAGTGGATGAGCCGTGAATGTGTCACGGAGACACTGAGCGGCGACTGTTGTCCTTTTCGGGTGCCGCGGATGGTTTTCGACTGGCTTTAGAATGCGGCGTTCTCTCACCGCGAAGGCCACTGCTGCTTTGGAGGAGAAACCATTCAGGGAGTCTTCAAAGGGTGCGCGCCGACCATTTGAAGACGGGCAACTACCAATGGCTCGTGTGCCATGTAAAGGTGTCTGGATATATGTAAAAATGTTAATATATCTTAGATACGCTGTGTGTTTGTTTACATCCATTGCCATTTGCGGTTGTTTAAGTGTTAAATCACGGGCCATTTGATGCCCCAGACACTGGAGGCAAGTCATGTATACGTGAGAATCATGAAGGTGACTTGCTCAGCGGGGGTCAAAAGATGATAGGACGCATTATCATCATCACCGTTAAGGCAGGCTCATTCACATCGAAGCCTGCGAATTACGGCAGGCCCGTTCGGAAACAATGCTGATGGGTCCTATCAATGCACTAGAATGGCCAGTTTCATGTGGGGTGTGGTGAGCGATATTCACAGATACGTACGTATGCTACTCAGATGGGCTGACTGACTCTAGGCCTGTGGGTTTGGGTTATGGGGTGTTACTACGGGGCATGACTGACTGGGCAGTCAGAACTGGTGATCACAGCAGGGAGACGCACACAACCTCACGATGATTGTGCTTGTGGTGGTCGCGACCAAGGCATCGCAAGCATCGCGCATAGTTTGGGCGGGTTTGGTCACGCTGAAGAGGTGGTGGCATTAGACTCATCTACGATGAACAGGGCTGTCCTATGAGCTGACAGGGTTCGGTGGGCTGATGGGCTTCACGACTGGCTGGCAAAAGAAACATCACTAAAAAAAACGTAAGATGCAATGCTAGATAAACATTGTAACAAACAAATCGGGCATGATGCAATGCTAAACGGATGCCCTCAGCCGGTTTTGCTAGAGGCATTTTGGTGCAAGACTGTTTTGCTACAAAAACATCTTGTGTTTTTCTTAAATGGACTGGGGATGACGCATTTTTTACAGGATTTTTCTGCCGCAACAATAACTAAAAAATTGGGGCTTCGTCGCGAAAGCCTGCGCGAGGCTGCAAAGAGCCGACTCCATGTCTTCGCGCGTGCCGACCGCACATCCGCTGTTCGTAAAAATTAGCCTTGAAATGGCGCAACCGCCAACTGCCGAGTCCCGGGGAGGTGTGGTTTGGTGCCTGTACCGCCAACTGCCGAGTCCCGGGAAGGTGTGGTTTGGTGCCTGTAACGCCAACTGCCGAGTCCCGGGGAGGTGTGGTCTGGTGCCTGTAACGCCAGCTACCGAGTCCCGGGGAGGTGTGGTCTGGTGCCTGTACCGCCAACTGCCGAGTCCCGGGGAGGTGTGGTCTGGTGCCTGTAACGCCAACTGCCGAGTCCCGGGGAAGTGTGGTCTGGTGCCTGTACCGCCACCTACCGAGTCCCGGGGAGGTGTGGTCTGGTGCCTGTAACGCGCCAACTGCCGAGTCCCGGGAGGTGGTCTGGTGCCTGTACCGCCACCTACCGAGTCCCGGGGAGGTGTGGTCTGGTGCCTGTAACGCCAACTGCCGAGTCCCGGGGAAGTGTGGTCTGGTGCCTGTACCGCCACCTACCGAGTCCCGGGGAAGTGTGGTCTGGTGCCTGTAACGCCAACTGCCGAGTCCCGGGGAGGTGTGGTCTGGTGCCTGTACCGCCAACTGCCGAGTCCCGGGAAGGTGTGGTCTGGTGCCTGTACCGCAAGCTGATATTTCTGGAGAATTGCTCCCTCAGGATAGTTTTGCTAACGCTCGCTGTTCGGACACCAGTGGTCGGGCCGGAGCGGGCCAGGTTTTTGTCCATCTGAGGAGGGGCCTTGCGCCGAGCGGACGCGGACTGCTGGGCCGGAGCCGACCACGCTGGAGTCGGGTCAGGTCGGATTGCAGGCTCGACAGCGCGTGAGAAATCGTACCTGACTTTTGGAGATGCGTAAAAACACACCCTCGGGAACATTGTCCTCACCGTATAGTGTGCCATATTTTTTTCCGAAAGAGCATTTTAAGAGCGCATTCACTTATGAAAAACATGGCATGTACTAATTTGCTGTCGCAATACACATTACTGCCTGTGACCAACTGAGGTACTTTGCGGAAAACACTGATGTGTCCCTTAGCCTCGGGGCAAAGATACGTCTGCCACCCTGGTGGTTTTCAAATCAAAGCAATGATTTTGAAACCGAGGGACCTTCGGGCCAGATCTCAAAACGAACGCAACTGCCTGTGAACCTCGGAGCTACCAATAATTCGAGAATCTCAACTGAAGGGCTACGTTCATTTCGTGAGCGACCCTTAGTTCCAAGCAGTAGGATTTAATCTGGTCCAAAGCAACTTCCTGCTGCGAAAACAATTATATTTGACCTGGGTTCGGAGGGAGCGGATTTTTGTTTGTTCAGTCTTTGCCCTCATTAGTTATGTTGAGCATCTTGAAAGCAATGCGATGTGTGCGTGGCGGAATATCCGAAATTCGCGGAGCACGTGCTTTGACTATGCCACGGTAGACGGCCGGCAAACCCGTCGAAGCAGCCAAGTCGAGTCCGTGGTCGAATGCGGTGATTTCAGCACTACTATAAATGGAAAACCTGATCATCTGGCCTTCACACGTGCGCTTGAACACGAGTTGACGCTGCACTTGGCCGCGGCCTGGGGCTGCCGGCGGTCGCACACCTGTGCTGCCGGGGCGGGGTCTCGCTGGCTGCGACTGCTTCAGGGCCGGCATCGGCTCGGCTCGGCGCACGAAGGTGCAGTATTTATGTAGCTTCCACAGCGTCCGTCTACACCGGTCCGCTGCTGCGCTGCCGATACGACTGAGCCAATTCAGCGGGCCGTGCACGCAGACCTGAGCACGTAGCTGACCTCTGACGACTTGGGGTGGGATTTGGCGTACTGGACTCGATCTGTTGTTAGATTGTCAGGCAGGGTTGAACGTTTTTCTTAGTTGGACGCTAGTGATGTGACCGTTTCGAATACATCAGATAGCTTGCCAGAACTCCCAACGATACTTTATTGGATAGCTACAACTGGTGTGACGTGGGGTGGCCCGGGGTCCTGCCACACAGGTAACCGGTTTTGTATGAAAAGGAGCATGGGGAATTCGTTTCATAACATGATTTACGCGCTTAGCTATGCAAGACTAGAGTCGTCACTAAACGCACTTCAGTATCTTTCCGAAGAGTGTTGAAAGTGTACTGGTTAACGCACCTGCGTTGACTAATGCACGTCTGGGAAACCAGAGGTAAGGGGCGCGATTTCCCGTGGTGCCCGTCCACCCCGCCAGGGTGAGAGGCAGGCGACGCCATATAACCTCAGCAGCTGAGTGCGTCGTAAAGTCCGAATGGTGACGAGTATCTCCCCGGACTAAAACAGCTGCCGCGTTACAACAGATACATCAAAAATATCGCGCCATTGAACAAACCACAGCTGTTTCAATCAAGCGACTACCGTTCTTGCTGGTTTACTTCACGCCATGTTTTTGCATGTGGCAACACGATAACTGACCATGACCTGACACCCTCCATCTGATGAAGATGGCGGAAAGTTGTCAAGACCGGTTGCTAATTGATAGTTTTGAACTAGGTGCCCAGTTGCTTGTGGAGCAGCAACTCTGCGTATGACTGACCACCCCCGCCAGTGTTTCTGGCTCGTCTTCACTTCAGCTGCTCATTCCGATATACAGCAGAGCCTGCCACTCCTGGGTCTGGAGCCGGGCCTGCCGTCCGCAACAGTCCAAGTCCAGGGGTCTGCCATGTAGCGGCCTCAGCAGCGGCCGCCGACGGCCGACTGAACCAGCCGACCTCGCTGTCACCCGGCCCGAAAAACACGCACCGATCAGCTGCCGCCCGGCCGGAGAGGTCACGGCTTCCTGACATCCTTGGGGGGGGGGGGGGCGGTTTGGCCAACACATGCAGCCGTGCGCCGGACGCCTGCCTGGGCTGCAGGCGGCAGCCGAGAACGCCTGACACGTCCGCGGCCCGGCACGGCGCCATGCCATCTGGTGTTGGCAGCGTGAGGTGTTGATGAGGGGGGGGGGTGGGGGGGGGCATCTGTAATTGATGGAATGCGAGGTTACGCTCGTTCGTCAACTGCCCCGGAAGCAATCAAGAACGGCACGACCGCTGGTCAGTAACCGCGCCACAGTGCCCAGCCTGCTGCCGCTTTCTGGTGGTGGGTGCCGGCTGAGATCCTGGTCCCAAACGACAGGGCTGCGCGGGTCACATCGCCTGCTACTTGGCAGGCTGTGCGCGCTGCGGCGCACTGAAGGCCGCGGTGAGTAACGGACGCCGGCGACGGGCTAGACTTCCCAGTATGCACGCTCAAGGGAGTTGACATGGGTGCTGGCCATGAACGCCATTGGTATGTGAATATTAAATAAAGCAAACGACTTACATCATATAAATAAGTGGCAAATGAAATGAGGAAACTTATCAACATCATACCATTTTTGGGGTTTCAACCAGCGTCCTCTGGTTGATCCTCTCTCTTCGTTCCTCCTACCACAGTAAGAAGCGCCCAATTGAGCAATGCGATGATGGCATACAAGACGTAACGCTGTTTGTGAAAGTCTGCTTTTTGACGAACAATGTGCAACAACATGCCTCCTGCGTACACGCGCTAGGATCTATGTTAATTTCCGCACTGGGAGTGGGGTCGAAATACGCCTGACGCGCATGCCTTTGTAAGTACCGTCGAGCCTGAAAGCCGCAATTCGGCGTGCTTCTAGCATAACGAGGCATTGAATGAACCCTGTTACAAGCAATCGGCCGGTAGCTCTTCAGTTAGAGCGTGATATGTGTCAAACTGTCAAAATGCTGTCACTGCAATGTTAACTACCGGCCACGATAAATAACGCCGCATATAATCGGAGCGGCCGTTCGTCTTCACCGGCAGCGTGCCACACGGCGCGCGGCCGCTCTTGGCGCGGCAAAGCCGCGGCGGAATGGGGCACATGCCCGCGCAACAACGCTTCCTCCGATGTTATTGTCGGAAAAGTTGTTTCCAACGAACGAGCTCCCCGTTTCGACCTCGGATTCCACCGCGTCGCATGATTCCGCCTGCAGGTGGCGTTTCCTTCGCAGGCGAACGCGCGAGGGGGTGAGCCAGGGACGGCCACAACACCGGCGTCACGGTACGTCCGTTACTTCAGAAGTCTGCGTGGCTACCTGTGCATTTTGACACTTAGGGAGAATGAACTCTGCCAGT